TTTCTTGTCCTGGAGAATCACAGCATCACTGGATCACTGAAGTCTCAGTTGTGACCAGAGGCCAAACTGGAGTTATTCTGTAGCTGGGCTGTAGGCAAGAGAACTAGGCTAACCAAATGATTTTTCCCTAGAATTATGTAGCATTGCTCCCAACACCCCTAGTCCTTTTTATTTTTTTGTTTTGACACAGAGTTTCACTAAATTGCCCAGGATGATCTCAAACTTGGGATCCTCCTGCTTCAGCCTCCAGTGCTGGGATGATGATGATGATGATGATGATGATGATGATGATGATGATAAACAGTGTCTTGTTTCGTAGTTCAGGGTGGTCTTGAACTCATTATGTAGCCCAGGGTGGCTTTGAACTTGTGATCCTCCTGCCTCAGGCTCCCCAGTAGATTGCAGGCATGTGCTACCAGGGTAGGCTCAGGTATTTTACTAAATGGCTCAGGTTTTTACCCAAATGCCGTTTCAGTGAATACTTGTCCCACTACCCCCACCCTCAACTGTCATCTCTAGACATTATTTGGAAAATTTCTGAAATAACCAATTCATAGGTTTTAAATTGCATACTGTGTCAAGGTATTGCAGTGCTTTGTTCCATTAGACCTTCTTTTACTTAATAACGGCCCTGAATGCAAGAGTCATGATGCTGGCAATTTGGATACACAAAAGAGAAGCTATAATGGTGCTTTTAAGTGAAAAAGGTGAACGTTCTCACCTTAATAAGAAAAAGAAATTAGATGCAGAGGTTGCAAAGATGTAAGAGTGAATCTTCTGCCTGTGAGACTGTGAGGAAGGAAAGAGAAATTCTCAAACTGCTAAAGTTACAGTCACAGTGCATGTTCAGTGCCTTGTTAAGGAAAAGGCATTAAATTTGTGGGTGAAGACACGAACAGAAAATGTTTTCCGAATTCATAGCAATGTTTTGCCACAGCAAGCATTGAGCTTATACAACAGTCTATTGTTTTTTTTTTGTTAAACCTTTATTGTGTTTAACTCACAAGTTAAACTTTATCACATGGATGTATAGGGAAAAACGCAGCATGTATAGGGTCTGGTACTATCTGAAGTTTCAGGCATCGACTAGGGGTTTTGAAACATAGCCACTGGGGCCAGGGATTTAGCTCAGTGGTTTCGCCGCCTGCTGCGCAAGCGTAAGGACCTGAGTTCAATTCCTGGTACCAAAAAGAGAAGAAAAGAAGCATATCTATCAAGGAGAAAGAGGAGTACTGTCTGTACTCTCACTCTCCTTTTTCGTCTTTTCTTTTCTTTTTGGTACCGGGGATCGAACTCGGGACGTTATGCTTGCTAGGCAGGTGGCAGAACCGCTGAACTAAATCCCTGGCCCTTTTCTTTTAGCCTTTTATATCTCTGTGTAGCATATATGTACATTTATGCCATTCTATCAATCAATTTGTTTTGCGGTGCTGGGGATGGAATTCAGGACCTTGTGCAAAATTCCCCAGCCCCTAAATCAATCAATTTTTAGAAAATTTATCTAGTTTACTGTACCTCCTCCTACAAGCGTTTTTTGTTCACTGTTACATACCCATAGTCGAAAACAGTTCCTAACAACTAGAAAACACCCAATGGGATATTTTTTGTTCTTGTCCCCCCAGCCCCAAGAGATGTTTATCATAACAGGTAACAATCACAAAGTGTTTGCAGTATAGGCCAGGCTCAATCCTAAGCGTTTGACATTTTTTTTCTTTTTTGGTATCGGGGATCGAAATCAGGACCTTGCACTTGTGAGGCAGGCGCTGCGCCACTGAGCTAAATCCCCGGCGCCGCGTTTGACATATTTAATCATCACAATAACCCTATAAAGAAAATACAATTACTACGTTATCTTTATTTTACAGGAAGCAAGGAGTGGAGGAACTTGAGGCTCAGAGAAATTAAGTCACTTTCCCAAGGCTACACAGCTAGTAAGTGGCCCAGCGATGTGTGGAAGGAAATGAATGAAACTGGACATGGCAGTCGGCGCGGAGATGGAAACTGACAGGGTGGGAGGGGCCCGACCCAGCGCGTGAGATGCTGAACGCGAAGCTCACACCCTGCAGCCGGGGTTTAAAGGAAAGAGGCACAGAGCTTCGGGAACTGCGCGGCGGAGGCGCTGAGAACACCACTACGTGCGAGGGCCGCTGGGCTCCTGCGGACGGGAAGCAGGAAGCGGCGGCGGGCGTCGCGCTGATGACGTCAAGTGGCGCCGGCGAGAGGGGCGGGGAGGGAGGAGGAGCGACCCGGGTTTGGGGGGCGGCTGCACAGTCTCTGGGATCCCCAGGCCTGGAGGGGGGGTCTGAGCGCGGCCAGCTGGCTCTGGCCCCCGTCCGGTCCCGAGCGGGCCTCCCTTGGGCCAGCCCGATGTGACCGGGTCCAGCGGAGCCTGAGTAAGGAGCGGGCCGGTCGCGGAGCCGGAGGGCGGGAGGAACATGACATCGCGGAGGTGAGAAGCCCGGAGGGGCCCGGCTGGGCCCTGGCCCGCCCCCCCCCCCGCGTCTGTTCGGCCCTGCCCGGGAGGGGGCGCCCTGGCCGGGCTTTGGACTCCGGTCCCGGATGGGAGGTCGGCGCCTTCCGACCCCTCGCTCTCCTGAGCCCCCCAGGCCCATGGCTCCCCCACCCCGCGGGTCCCCATTCATTTCCTGTCTCCCCGAGTTCCGGCTCCCGGAGCCCCGGGGAAGCCCGTCTGGACGGGGGCAGGTAGAGCGGCCCCGAGAACTGCGGACGCCAGCGGCCCGGCTCGGCGCCGCATTCCTGACCCATTGCCTCATGAGAATTGCCTCATGGTGATTCTGAAATAACCCCGCGCACTCGGGGAGGCTCCTCGGCCCGGGACGCTGGAGGGGAGCTGCGCGGGGCCGGGCCGCGACAGCGAGTCGCTCTGGTCACTCAGCAGTGGGCGCGCATTCGGGGACTTCACCCAGGACCCCCAACCCCTTTGTGTACCCCTTTGCGTACCCCTTTGCATCTCCTTTCCCCCTACCCCTCACGTGCTAGAAATGGAAAAACTGACGGTATCTGCAGCCACTAAGAAGTATTTCCTTCCTCTGCGATCTTCGCTTTGGGAGGTGGGAGGGAAGGGAGAATGAGATCCTTTGGCAGTTCAGGGTAATAATACGACTCATAGCGAGCATTTACTTGTTTCTTACCAGGAGCCAAACACGTTTAATCCTCACAACTATCGTATGAGGCTAGTACTATTATCTCGTTCTAAAGATGAGTAACCTGCGTTTTGAAGTTAAGCATCTTGCCCTGTGTCACTCAGCCAATGAGTAGTGGAGCCCAGGATCTGCCATGTTAATCACCATGTTGCTGTTATTATTTTATGTAACTATTGCTAATCATTGGTAAGCCTTAATTTTGTTGTTAAACACTAGTGTGACCTCTGGTTTTCAGATAATGAGCCTGTTATTTTGTGTCACCACTCTTTACATAGACTCACACATAAGACCCTTTGTCTGTTCTTCTCCATGATTGTCCAGCTATGCCCATCTTCTTGAGCATTAGAAAAATGAGTTCAAGCTGTTGGGACTATTTGAATGAGAGACTTTTCAAAATATTAGAAATGTTTCCTTAAAGCACACCTGCTTGTTATTCATTCATGGACATATAACAAAAAAGGGGAGGAAAAAGACAACTGAAAATTCATAGGAAGTGAGTAACTTGGACAGGTCTCTTGGCAAGTGCTTGCAGATCTGAGTAATATATAACTGCATTTCAACAGAACAGTGTATGGCCTCAAATGTTGTAATTCTTTAGGGAGCTTTTAAATAAAACAGTTGTCTGTTCTTTAATCTGTCAAATAGTCATTGAGCCTTTTGTTCCTTGTGTCTGCTCCTCCAGACAAGTAAGGATCTGCTGTTTTAGGAGACAAAAAGACTGAGGGCAGGGGGTGGGGAGAGGGGTAGTAATAGACCCTACATTGTCCAGCTTGTTAGTTTAGAAGCAGGGAAGTGTAGGGATAGCCAAAGCAGCAAGTGGTCAAGATGACAGTTTGAAATGGAATAATTCCTTCTCCCCTCCAGCCCTGGTCCATCTTACCTATTATAAAAAATGAATGGTGTGCCACCTAAAAAGTCAGGTTACAAATGAAATGAAATGAAAACATCATCGGCAGTTATGATTTTTAAATCAGCTTCATTGGGATATAAGTGACATGCAGTAAACATGCGTATATCTAAGTGTACAATTTGATGAATTTTTGGGGGGACAGGGTCTTGCTGTGTCTTTCAGAGTGGTCTTGAACTCACTGTATGGCCCAGGTTGGCCTCAGACTCACAGTGATCCTCCTGCTTCAGCTTCCTGAGTGCTCGGATTACAGTTGTGCCCCACTGTCCCTGGCTGATTTGATTACTTTTGACGTGTATACATTTGGGAAACCATCACCACACTAAAGATAATGAACATATCCATCAAGCCGGTTGAAGATTCCTTGTGCCTTTTTATAATCCCTCTTGTTCTCAGGCAACCATTGTTTTGATTCTGTTATTATACATTATTTTTCATTTCCTAGACTTTTGTGTAAATGGAATTAAGCAGGATGTACTCTTTTTGCTTGGCTTTTTATATTTAGCACAGATGTTCTGAGATTCATCTGTGTGTCAGATAGTTTGTTAGTTTTTATTGCTTAGTCATATGGTATTCCACTATAAGATATACCTCAGTTTGTTTATCCATCCGCTGTTGACGGACATTTGGTTGTTTGCAGAGTTTAGCTTTTGCAAACAATAAGTGCTCTGAAATCTTGTGTACAAGTGTTTGTGTAGATACACAATTTCATTTCTTTATGGTTTATAGCTATAAATGGAATGGCAGAATCATATAGTAGCTATACATTTAACTTTTTCAGAAGTTGCCAACCTTTTTAAAAAGTGGCTTGTTTCTCCATATCCCTGCCAGCACTTGGTATCGTCAGTCTTTTTAATTTTAGTGGATATGTCATGGTAACTCAGTGCAGTTTTAATTTGTATTTTCTCCAATAGTAATATTGATTATCTATGTGCTTATTTGTCATCTATATATTTGCTTTCTTTTTTTGAGAGTCTTGCTGTATAGTTCAGAATAGGCCAGCCTTGAAGCCTTGAACTCATGATCCTCCTGTCTTAGCCTCTTGAGTTCTGGGGTTATAGGTGTGTGCCACCACGTCTGGCTTTGTATATTTTGTTTGTTGATGTGTCTGTTCAAATATTTTTTTTTTTTGGTACTGGGGATCGAATTCAGGACCTTGTGATTGCAAGGTAGGAGGCGGCACCACTGCGCTGAATTCCCAGCCCTCAAATCTTTTGCGTGTTTATTTATTTTTGTTGGTACCAGGGATCAGGGATGGAACTCGGGTCCTTGTGCTTGTAAGGTAAGTGGCGGAACCACTAAGCCAAATCCCCTGCCCTCTTTTGCCTGTTTTAAAAAATCTAGATTTTGTTTTGTTTTGTTTGTTCTTTTGAGCCAGGTATGCTCTATAGTCCAGGCTGGCCTTGAACTCAGAGCAATCCCCCTGCCTCAGCCTTCCAAGTGCTAGGATTACAGACAGGCATGTGCCACCAGCCCAGCTTCTAGTTTGTTTTCTTATGGAGATTTCTTTATAGAATCTGAATACAAATGTCAGAATTGCAAATATTTTCTTCTAGTCTGTGGCTTGTGTTGTCTTTTTCTTTTTGGCAGTACTGGGGATTGAGCCCAGAGTACCTGCTAGCCAAGCGCTCTAGCATTGACTTGCATCCCGAACCATTTTTATATTATTCTGAGGCAGGGTCTCACAAAGTTGCTCTTGCTGACCCTGCACTCTTTATTCTGCTTCAGCCTCATGAGTAGCTGGGATTATAGGTGAGTCTCACCATGCCCAGCTTTCACTGTGCTTGGATACCTGGGGCTTTTAATTTTGATGAAGTCTAGTTTATCAATTTGTTTTTTCTTTCTTTTTTTTTTTTTTTTGGTACCGGGGATCAAATTTGGGTCCTTGCACTTGGGAGGCAGGTGGCAGAACCACTGAGCTAAATCCCTGGCCCATATCAATTTGTTTTTGTACAGATCATACTTTTGGTACCATTTCTGAGAGAACTTAACCCAAGGGCTCAAGTATTTGTTGTCTTCTACAAGTTTAATAATTTTAGATTTATAATTCACTTTGAATTAAATTTTGCACATGGAATGAAGTATCCCTCCCTTTCTCCCTCTCTTCCTTTCTTAAGTTTTTAAGACAGGGTTTCTCTGTGTAGTCCAGGCTGGTCTTGAACTCACTATGAAGCTCAGGAACTTGTGGCAACCCTCCTGCCTCAGCCTCCCAAATGCTGGGATTACAGGCATGCAGCACCATGCTAGGCACCTGTTTTTTTCTTACGGATATCCATTTGTTTTAGCACTATTTAAACATTTAAAAAAAAAAATTTAAGACAGAATCTCACTAAGTTACTAAATTTTCCAGGCTGGGCTTCAAGTTTTTTTTTTTGTACCAGGGATTGAACTCAGGACCTTGCACTTGTGAGGCAGGCACCGTGCCACTGAGCTAAATCCCCAGCCCTGGGCTTCAACTTGTGATTCTCCTGCCTCAGCCTCCCAGAGTGGCAGGATCATAAGTGTGTGCCACCCTCACAGCTTAGCACTATTTGTTGAAAAGACTATCTCTCTCCAGAGAGTTTGCACATTTGTTGAAAATTAGTTGTCCTTTTATGTACGGATCTGTTTCTGGACTTGATTATGTCTTTTGATTTATTTGTGTTTCCTTATGCCAGGATCACATGGTCTGAACTGTTGTAGCTTTATAATAAGTCTTGAGTGTTAGTTCGTCTAATTTCTTTCTTTTTTTTTTTTTTGGTACTGGGGATCAACTTGGGACCTTGCGCTTGTGAGGCAGTTTCCAGAACCACTGAGCTAGATTCCTGGCCCTACTTTCTTTTTCATACTATTTTTTTTTTTTTTTTGTACTGGGGATCGAACTCAGGTCCTTGCGCTTGCGCAGCAGGTGGCGAAACCACTGAGCTAAGTCCCTGGCCCTTTCATACTATTTTGAACCTAATATTAATTCATTTGCAAAGTAGTGATCGAGCTGGGTAGGAAAAAAAGCAGTAAGAAAGGCAAAGATTCCGATTTTCATGAGTGAGAAAGAGAATCAACATGAATCCAATTTTATAATATGTGCTGCTGAAGCAAGCACTCAACATGAATCCATATGATAATTTCAGGTAGTAATAAATGCTGGGTGGGTGGAGTTCTGCAGAAATGTGAGGATGGGGAGAATACAATTTGTGGGTTTTGTTTTGTTTTTTTTTAGTAGTGGGGATTGAACCCAGGGTCTTCACATTCAGCTACATCCCCAGCCCTTTTTATTTTGAGACAAAGTGTCACCAAGTCATTAAGTTGCCCAGGATGGGCTTGAACTTCAGAACCTTTTGCCTCACTTTCCCAGAGTGCTGGGATTTTGGGTTTGGGCCCCACTGTCTGGTTTATAATTAC